AAAAAAAAAAAAAAATGCCTGCTTCTTTTGCACCTACCACTACATTCAGAAAAGCCAGCAGCAGAAAAAAAGCATGCATTATTGTTCCGGTCTCTTTTGTCGCTATTTATCGATGCAGTGCTGTGCTCGCAATTTATCATTACTCATCATTTTTTAACTGAAAAGTTCCACTATTCCCACACTTCACTGCTGAAATGTTAAAGCAGCGGCATAAGAAAACGAAAGGGCGGATGTTGACAGTGATGGATAGAACAATGTAGCAGAGGAAGCAATAAAACTGTTTGGTAGTTAGTTTACGTTCAGGTTTCATTGCGGCCATACAAAAAAGTAAAATCCGAAAAGCGGGATATATTTCTCACAACCGATAAGCGCCTCGTGTTCGTGAGTGGTACCAATTTATCAAATTTACCAGTGATACAAGTCACAAAGCAGCTGTTGTCCTGCTGGCGGATTCGAGTCATCGACATTTAGTTTAGTAATTGCACTGTTTACTTTCACACTGCAAATACCAGGAGTGCAGCACCATGTTTTAAAGCTATTTTTGTTTTAAGACTTTTTTGATTTGCTCAGTGAGCAAAATATTTTGTCACACCACTAAAAGTGCCATTTGCAGGCAGATAACCCAGTAATGGCATATCATTCCAATGATGCATTCACAATGTATGCATGGAGTGTGGACGAGTTCATGGTGATTACAGGAGGGAGAGAGTTATCTACGGTACCAGCTAAAAACCACGCGGATTTTGGATGCTACATGCCGTGGCCGATACTCAGTGAAAGTAAACCTTTCAAATGTTCGGGAAAAAGTGAACTCTGTTACACACTTTCAACTCAGCAACCAGGAAAGCTGGAAGGCTGAAATTTTGGGGTCATATTCCCACCTCATGTGCCACATTCCCGTTTTAAAGTCATCGTGTATGCGCGCCTAGATCTCGTGTCGGAACCAAATATGCAAATTTCTTTGGCAGGAAAAGACTTTGGGAACAAGATAAGGCAGCATGTATAAGCTAAAGATTTCAAATTCAGCAATCGCGCATGTCTGTACTACGCGTGCGATCACGTTAAAGTTTACAGCTGGCACTTGTCAATGCGAAAACTAGCCGGAAAACAGTAGCTGAAATTTTGTCAGAATATTTGTAGGCCATCGGGAAAAAATTATACATAAACTGAGCTTCAATTTATACTTGCATCACGATTTAGGACACTTCGAAGATATTTGTAACGAAGTGGCTGTTTCCCTTACCGAACAAGCTGCGTAACTGAATCATTGCAAGGGTATCCAAAATCCAAGTAATTCAGCTTGTAGGTGAAATTCCCTGCTCGCGTACATGACAAAAACCCAATTTTATCGAGAACTCAAAAATGAGTGCACTTTGCAGATTTCATAATTTTCTTCCGACTTCCTTCAAACTTGCATTTTCCCGATGAGCGACTGGACTTCATGCAAAAAACTAATAGTCATGCACTCTGGAAATTCGCGCAATTCATAATGCAACACTTCCTTCCCCCGCGTGCAGGAAAAAGCCAAATATAGCCAGTATGAATCCAACTGTTAAATTGCAGCGCAGAAACAATTCCTGCTGTTGACAATTTGTAAGTTGAGTGTAAAAAAGCATGATTGCACCGGTAAGCCAGGTAAGTTGTAGCCTGGTTTTAGAAAATAGCAGAATTGCTGCGTGTTGGTACCGCTGATTTTTTGTTGTCTAGGCTTGATAATTATCAAAAAGTTCTGTACAGTGTTTTCTTGCAGTTACTTGCTGAAAGCGATCCACAAGAATATCAGGTTTATTTCTTGCAAAGGAATCATGTCCGTTTAACTGCTCTCCACTGCAGATCACGAAGTTTTCTCTTTTTTGTCAAATTGACTGGAACAGGAATAATAAGCGGGGTTTGATAAGAGGACTGTTGTAAGAAAGAATCTTGAGGACTGTTGTAATGAAAGAATCTATTTCAGCGTGCGGAAGGCGGACAGAACTGATTGACAGGCACTTCACGGGGCTTGTTGATGCCGAGCATTTTTACCTTACTCCAACAGCAGAATATTGTCGTCTGAATGTCACTGCTTATGGTACCACGGGAAAAAATGTTTCAATTGTTGTCTCAGAGTCCGGAAGTACTGTTCAGCTGGACCTCGATTCCGCTACATACGGCAATAATGCTGGAATTCAGTCACGGTAAATTCATTCATTTTTTGGAGACTAAACGAGTTTTTTAGTAGAAGTCATGGTCAAGGTACTGAAGCTGTCGAATATTTGGATTATCAGAAGTGCGTTGCAAGCCAGGAGGAACTTGATGAGTACAAACAGTAGCACACTTCAAGGTCGCCTTACGGGTAGCTGGAGTTTGAATGTTGCAATTGGGGGAGGGTGGCGTGCTGCAAGTTTTACTCAAGGCAAGGAAGGGACTGGAATAGGTGGATTTGATGGTTACATGGCGTGGATCCTTTGTCGGTTGACTAATTTGCGTACGTTCCGAGGGGAAGAGCGAAAATCGAAAAGAGGGGGGGG